GATATAAATTAATAAAACTCGCAAACAACTTCGAACTAACAGACAGGCACTGAAATGTACTGGAAGTTTCCGTTAAAAAAGCAGGCGATTTATGTAAAAACTGTGTGTTCTCCTTCCATTTACTTCTTTCGCAAATATATCACAGATAAAATCGACACTTCAGCAAGAAAAATAAGGCGGATTCAAAGCTGAGTAATAAAAGTTGGGGAACACTGTGCAAATAAGTCGGTCATTTACATAATGCCCTAGGCGGGGAAACTTTTTGCTGAAAATGCCAGTTGAAGAAGACATATGCGTATTCTCCACTAGTTGTTTTAGCTTTAAACAAGTCTTTGTGTCGGATTTCAGGCTTGAACATTCCCCTCTTGAATTTTTTCCAGCTCTAGACGCCCTAAGCGATTTTTTTAGCTTAATTTTCGGATTTTGCCTGTTAGTCTAGACGTTTTAGGAGGCTTAAATCGCAGGCACTTACCTCGAACAACAAGTCGAACTGGGTGACTAGTGAGAGCATCCTGCGTATGAAAGTCACTGGCTGTTACTTGACATTCCCAACTTCCATCGTCGAATTCCAATTGGGCGGCTCGAATCCAAATGGAACAATCGCCGTTCTGTTGACTGGACGATATCCACTCGTATTTGTGAGGATACATTCCCATTGGCTGCAAAAAAGTTGCATACAAAAAATTGGCAAAGTTTCCAGACGCAAAACTGCAACATTTTCATCCGACTCACCAACAGGGGACTGAATGGTTTATCAATATTCAATCGGTGATCAATTAGTGCAACTTCAACCCACACTAATTCAGCTAGAATATTGGATTTTAATTGCCGGGAAATTAAGTCTACTCAAAATTGCGGCTTCAAAAGCATTAATGGCTGCCGTTTAATTTAATTTACCGAATTAAATGTGAGGAGTTACTGCAAATAATTCAACACACGCGACATTCAATTACTGTTCATTTCATCCAGGCGGGAAACCATGAGTTTTTCATCAATTTGTGCCTCAAAAGCGCAACCGACTCCTTCCAGACTCGTCCAACAAACTAAAAGTTTCGCATATAAAATTCACTCCTGACTATGCATATCCATGCGAAATGCTCCTTGTGACGGGATTTATGTATCCCCATATCCCATTTAGGGCATTTAAATCTAAACACAATGAAACGAATTATTGGATTCGGTATTTATTTCCTGGCGCTTCCGTGTCTTGAATTTTCGACGTGTTTTTAGAGAGTTATGGGCTGCGAAATAGGTGTATTTTATGATTATATTACACTCAACTGGAACGTGATTGCAATAGCTGATCCTAATGTTTAATTCATTTGTTGAGCAGTTTACCTTTGGTAACTTCATCTGCTCTATAGTCAGTTAGAGAAGACTAAATTGCACGTAAATTGAATTGGAGACGAAATTAACCATTAACCATCCCTAAGATATAGAGATCCCATGGGATATTTCCGTCTAAAAATAGGCGAATTCTATTCTATGCAAACCCCACAATTTACAAGAACACAGATGAAAAAATGCAGTGCACAAATAGCAAATTTCTGCTTCAAGCAAGATTATTTTTGTGGCTGAAGAACGTCTGAAGCAGGATGATTTAAGCGCTTAATAGCAGCAAAAAATTATGTAAATGGACGAAAATTAATTACAGAAATCAAGCAGAAGTTATTATTCCACATTTTGTTGTTGGAACATTTTAGACTGACCGGAAAAAATCCTTTAATCATTCAGAAAAATCTGCCACACTTTATTATGGAAGTAGCCGGATCAGGCCGCACCTGAGGAAGGGGATTTAGAGGATAAAATCGCGAACGAAAAACATAAAGGATTTATACGGGTTAATAAAGTGAAAAAACTTGGAAACCTTCGGCTCGGAAAACAAGGGAAAGCTGTTAGGGCGTTATTGGCATATTAAATTTTACAAATTAATTTTGTTAATTAAGAAAGACTCAAGTGAATCATAATGAGGATCCCAATAAAGCTGGAGAAAATTTCGAAGGGATTCATTTCCGTATAATGGAGATCGACTGGTTTGCATTCCTCTGAATGAATTGAACTTGTTAATAAGCCGGTTTCTACGGAATTGCGTTAAAAAAAATTCGTTTAAAAAACCAGTAGGCGGCTTTTCAATTTCAAAAGTTATTTTACTCGAGCAAACAATTATCTCAGTCAATAATACGTATCAAATCGACCAATACAGAAACCGAAAACTTGAATAAACTTTGATTACTTTTTTAATTGTTTTTCCAATTGATTGGCTAACTACCGAGGAACTTTTTAATGTTTTTTCGGTTAAGGGAATATAAATTGCTATTTTACTTTTCTTACTGGAAATGATTCCACCAAATGGAATTCACCGAAAATTGTGAAAATGATTTGTATATTACATTTCGCATTTTCAGCTAAAAATCACGAATTCTTTCGGTCCGTTGTTCATGAAATATTTGGTTTCACTAAAATCGCTTTACCGCCATGCAAATTGTTTTTCCCATTTTTGTATGTTTTCGTTTGGGCTTTTAATTTAATCACGATCAATATTTCAATGAAAATATTTCGAGCTAATTTCCTTTAAACTTTCACCGCTTTCAGACTTTTTCTGATTTTTTTGCTGAGCTGGCAAAAACACTATAAATCTGCATTAAAATCAAGTAAATAAAAATGCTAATTACACAAAAGCTTCTGGAAACGTAGGGCCTTTTATTAAATATGTTGACAAATTTATATCCCAATAAAGGATCTTCTTGTATCATGCAGCAGGTGCCTGAGACGACACCACGTCGTGAACTCAAACTTAATCAAAATTTAAGAACATTGTTTTTAAAGCTGTTTTTTAGCACTCGGCCCAGTTTATTGCGCTTTTAAAGCATCTTCAGTGGAATAACGGCAAGTGTGGATGTAGTTTCTCAACGTTCAAAGCAATAATCTCGAGGAAAGTGGCTTGAATTGCTGCTTTGAAAAATTTTACCATACTGAAAATCCTGGTTGATGCTCGAATGAATGTTGGAAACTTATACTTTTTAAAGGAATTATACATATTTAGTTCCGAACGTTAATTCCTGTTATTATCGATGGATACCATTTGGAATGCGACCATTAATAATTTTGAAGAGCTGGCAACTTTAGGGCAGACGTCAAAAAGCTCGAAAGATATACGAGAAAAGTTTCGCGGGTGGAAAGTGACAATCCAATTAGGAAAACGCTGGGTGAGTGCAAGTGCATGAACGTCGATTTTTCCTAAACGTTGTCACATTTAAATGATTTAAACAAAGAACTGTTGTCAGCAATTAAGGGGATCTCAACCAGTAAATTTAAATTCAGATAAAAAAAGATTCTGCCAAAGAAACTGAAAAGTACATACAATAGAATTTTCCCTAGAACCAAGAAAAAATAGTGTA